CTCGGAGTCACCTTCCCGCAGATGGTCAAGCTCATGTCACAATGCCAGCAGGTACGTATCATTCAGGATAATCTTAGCAATTTGTTCACTGCGATAGAAAAACAATAACTTTATCTATACTAATATTATAAAGAGATAAAATTTGTAAGTTTGTATGTTTGTAAGTTTGTATGTAGGGGGAACCGAACCGCTGGTCGGATTGCTAAAATTCTTTCACTGATAGATAGCTACATATGTTCCTGAGTGATATAGGCTATATAACATCACGTTAGGATTAAATGGAGCCGAGCAGCGGGTGAAACCGCGCGAGAGTAACTAGTAAATAATATTTAGGTATAACATATTATAATGTATTAACTAGCCTCTGCCCGCAGCTTCACCCGCGTGGTATGTTGATAAAAAGTAGCCTATGTCCTATTCCGGAGTGTATCCGTCTCTGATGCCTGTGCTATCCGTCCAGTTGTTTTGGCGTGATTCAGTAACAAACATCCAAACATCGTAACTTTCGCATTTATAGTATTAGTATGATTTAGAGCGTAAATTAAACGTGAAGGAGGTACCAGGTGTATCTATGTGTGTACTCGTGTAGCGTGTCTAGTGTCTATATCTAGAAAATGAGATTAATTGCATGGGAAGAGCCGCTTTCACGTTTGTAGTAAACTGATCTGTGAAACACTAGTTGGAGTAGTTATAGTGAGAAATATGAGCAGCGAACACAATGTTACCACATCTGTAAAGTTGATACAGATACTACATTTAAAATCATAGAGAAGAAAGAAGGAGTCGTTAGTTCCTTATTAGGAATTTGCCTAAATTAAAAATGCCATTACGAAAACAACTTCCACTGTTTCATCCACGAAAATTTTGTATGCAAACATTATATTCTACTAATATTTTCGACCTACAGTTTGTTTTATGTTTCGTAACCAGTAACTGTAGATGGCAATGCCCTCTATGAACCGCATAATGTGTCTCCCAATAAGTGCCATATTCATTTCTGCCGCGTCGGCCCCTCACCTGGCCTTCACCCAAAACTACTGGGTCGTCAACCAACATTAAATATTATAATACCTATTTTTTTTTTAAATTACATAAAATTAATATTATTTTGCTTAGGCAATGTCATGTCGGAAACAGACAATTGAAATAAAAATACCATTTGCATATTTTCAGACTATAATTATTGGTATATTTTAAATATCATTGAGTGAGATCTGATTGTAGATAATTGTGATCTATCACGAATATAGTGCACGCGAATGTGCCGTATGCCTACTCATAAAATTGTACTGGCTGTAGAGCCTGTAGAGCTATAGCTTTGCTACATATACATAATGTTTCTAGCGTAATTTACAAAAAATATATATGCATATGTAGAAGGCAAGTTACAAAATAACGTCCTCTTTATTGTAAAGTTCTAATTACCTTATATAAATTTGAAAGAAAACAGAGTAGGTAATTTATTCGTCTTCTTTCTCATTATTATCTTTCGACCATGTTTTTATTTTGCTTAGTCCGAGTATCTAATCGTGGTAAAATGACACATAGTAAACGTGTATATAGTGACAATATTCAGTGGTTGCAAACTAAATAGCAATCATTTGTGACCACTAATAATTGACCCTATTGAGACCACAGTCATACATTCTTACCAATAGTTAAACTTTAATTATCACAATCAAAACAAGTACCTACCTACAGCCATCTACCGTCATACCGTACCTAAACAATTTTTTTTATTTTATTTTTTCAACCACAATGAAACTACACAAAAAGTCAAAAGTCAAAAATCATTTATTCCAATTAGACCTTTACAGGCACTTTTGAACGTCAAAACAAAATTTTGAAGATATCGTGTCAGTCTGTCGGTCAGTCCTCTTAGTGAAGCTATTTGCTCGTTCCAAAGTGTAGATTCCTATGGAGAAGAACGAGCAAGAAACTCCTTTTTTATTTCACTCGCCCAGGGTAAACATACCAAAGACGGGGGTCTGTGGTGGTTTAATGGTTCTTTAAGTAGCACGCGGAACGCAAGGCGCCGCCAGCTCGGGTCCGGTTCTGGTCGTCTGCGGGAATAGTGAAGAACCGCGATTACGGTGGCCAGAGGTCGTAGCACACCTAATTATGTACTTACCTACGTATGTGTGTATTTATTTATGTAATTTCTGTTTTAGGTTGCAGGCGTAGAAGCTTTAGACGAGAGCGACCATCCAATCCTTGGTAGCAGCGGTGGATGGCGGGAAACCGGCACCGCACGAGCCCGGCTTGACGCTGGTGGCGCACACGCTGGGCTGTTGGGGGGCAGTCCACTCACATTACTGCAGGGAATCATACCAGGTAACAGAATGAGTTACCAAAAAGTTTTAATATGTAATTAAATTATGCAATGTTTATTCAACCGATGATTGTATTTTTGCAGGTACTAAGTGGTGCGGCACCGGCGACATAGCCACGGACTACCACGACCTGGGTGCAGACAGACGCCTGGACCGCTGTTGCCGCACGCACGACCTCTGCCCCACGAAGGTGCGCGCCTTCTCCAGCCGCTACAACCTCACCAACAACTCACTATACAGCAAGTCTCACTGTACTTGTGACGACATGCTCTTCGATTGCCTCAAGACCACCAACACCTCCGCCTCACACCTCATGGGACACATCTACTTCAACATCGTTCAAGTACCCTGCCTCGAGGACGTCGACGACGCTCGACGATTTCGTAATGCTAGGCTGGGATTTTAACTATGTCTAGCGGAGAATAGCGGAATTATACTCATCAGCGCCATCTAGTAGTCACGATAGTGTGTCATGCATGCACAGATTTTTTTGATGCTGTAAATTTTGCATTTTAAATAATTTATCTTCTTGTTATTCTCTAATGAATGTGATTGTAAATAATTATTAAATTTTAATAATGTTCTTATAAAACATTAGACATCAAGCTGTGATACGTCTGTGCCTTTAAATGTACTAGAGAGTATTTTGTTAGAGGATGGCGCTATACAAATAAAAACATTGTTTTAAATAGGTAGATTCTAAGATATTTATTTATTTGTTACAAAATATTCATGACAATGATGCAGATTCTATATTGTTATAAATAGTCACAAGAGTTTAATATTTGTTCATGACGACAAAGATATTTTATAATAATATAGAGAAATAAATGTGTTAGTTCATACCAAATAAAATATTTATTATATTTTTTTGTATAATTAATTTTCTCTTCCCCACACTCTCTATCGGTTATTTAGAAGTTTCAAAGCACTGTGAGATATTTCACATCTGAGAACGTCTTATTTTATTTTTAGATACCTACAAAATAAGTACTTAGAACAAAATGGTATTATCCTCAGACCTACTCAAATGTAACATGATACATCAGCCAAGTAAGCACGCATAAAATAAATCGTAACATTCCATCTTCTATCCACAACAATCTAAAAGTCGTCTTACAACTGACGTTCGTAATATCTAATGAAGGGATATAGTTACGCGGGTATTAACGCGGCAAATAAGTATGTAATTACAAATACCTTGGTATCTAGGCTTGACGTTTCGAACTGGTTGCACAGGTCGTGATCACAGGCAAAATTTTGAATACCTCAAATAATTATTTTCCGCGTTACTACCCGCGGAACTATAATTATGTTGTAAATATGAAACGCGAAAGTTTAAAAGTTAGTCTAATGAAGAGAACATAATTTGGTGCTTGGGATGAAGCTATCCAGAAGCTGTTGGTGATTTTGAGATCTCTCATAAGCATTTGATTGCGTTAATTTCACTTGCAAAAATTTAATCATGACGGGATGAGTGACCTGCCTTCCGTGTGTTCAAATCATATACGTAGAAGGCAGCTAAAGATCAATGTACACGGAATTAACAGCTCTGAGATGAAAAGCGTTCCTTACGGATCGAATGTAACCATATTCGGTCCTTTTAACTAGGTATTGGGTTCATACATATTATGAACCCAATACCTAGTTCATCAAATCAATCAATCAATCATAATATTCCCACCACGCAAAAATTGAGATAATAAAGAAAGATAATTGCTTGCCCGTGAACGCTGGTGAGGGACACCAGTCTTCAAGGCTGCGGGTTATCGCCCACTGTGTTCCTCCTTATAGCTTGTGTCTGAAATTGAGACTTCTTTACAGAGAATCTCAGATTCAGCTAGATTAAATGTAGTCCAATTTAACCCCACAAAGACACAGGTCTGCGTGTTCACAGCTGAAAACTGCCGTTGGTCGTATATCCTCAATTTCAGAGCACCCCCTGACAGTCTCGGCCGGTATTGGGATACTTGGAGTCGACATATCGAGCTTTGGAACGATCTTCCGGCGTGGTATTTCCAATCTGATATGACCTTCAAATCTTCAAGAAAGGAGTGTGCTTCTTCTTAAAATGCTGGCTACGCGTCAGTGATTCCTTTGGTGTTGCAGGTATCCATGGCCGGCGCCAATCACTTACCATCAGGCGACGCGTCGGCTCGTTTGCCTCATATTCCTTAAAAAAAGACGTTGAATCCCCCTTTAGACCCATTCGAGAAGGTTAGTCACTAAGCTTTATTGGCTTTTTTGTTTAGGTAGATAACACAGCTTTCGGAGGTAAATACAGCAAAGATCAACTAATTTAGCTGGTTGAACGACATTGTGCTATGAAGTCCGTCGCGGATATCAGCTTAACGGTGCCTTTTTGATTTATATTTTGGAAAAGTTTTTAAGAGAAGCAAAAATATTATAATTACAAAAATCGATGGAGCAAACGATGCATAACTAGAGACAAAAATGGGCTGGCTGTACCACGTAGTGTATTTTTTGATGTTATTCAAAATTACAAGAAATATATTAAATCTCAATGTACTTAGCTATGATTAGACATGTTTAGATCTTAAAACCTAGAAATTATTGTGCTGAGTTATTTTCATTTTGAGAGAGAGAGTTTGTTAAATGAACGCTGCCATAAACCAAACATCTAACTAAAACCGAACGCTTCGTTTATTTTTTTAACTGTCAACACAATAACGTCAACTGTGAAACGTCAAATAGTTTTCATGATTTCATCTCTTTTTTCTCCTCTGCAATAATCATAATTTCTAAACTTCTGAAGTACGAAATTGGTGTAATGATGTTAAAAAATCGGAGATTAGTATCATATTAGTAGCAATTTAAATTAATGAACAGTCAATCCAAGATGTCAAACGACACAGCTGAAAGTGCAAAAGGTGTGTTATTTTGTTCAATTGTTTTTTAATTTAGGCGATAATGTTACCGTAGAGGCACTGAATGGTGTTTCTGTTTCAAGTGGAGGCCGCGGCAGAGTGCAACGGCCCGTCCCCTGACCAAACGCGACGGTTACTTGAAGAAGAATTTAATGTGCAACGAGCGAAAATGAAAGAGTTGTTCTTACAAAAAGAAGGTTCGTTGTCCGTTATCAGCAGCCTAGGCGGCGCGGGTGTAGTGTAGACTTGGTTCTGGTTTGGTACATTGCATGAAATTTCAATTATTCACATGATAACATTGTTTATAAAATGGCTAGATTTCAGTGCATTCAGACTGTATTTTGGTTTGTGGATACTTACGTTTTTTGCATTTGTCTCTTAGCTGGTTGGTTGAGTTGTGGTTTTTCATTCTGGTATGTTGCATTAACCTTGTCTTTGTCAAGTAGTTCCTGTTGCAAAACAAGTTGTTTGTTCCTTCCACCAGGCGGCAGGTCATTTCAACACAATACATAACAGCATTATTTTGTTTGGTATGCATTCACTTTGCATGCTTCCATTTATTAACATAAACTGTTTAAATTTCATTTAAATAAATGACTATCAAGACACTAAGCTCAGCTGTATGCTGCACTAATTATTTATCTGACTGACACCCTCGATGGAACACTACATAGCATTTGTATGCAACACAAAATATAATTATGTTGTTATTGTGTGCTCACCTCTAAACTTGTAAAAACTTTTGTTTTTTCGTGGTCATGTGATTCACTTGGTAAGTATAAAGGATTTCATTCATAATTGGTTCTGTGAAAATCTTATTGTTATAATGTAATTGGTTGCTTATTGTGTTTGTGATGTCTAGGTGATGGTGAAACTAATTCAAAATATTTATTTTATTATTATATTTGTTTATGATAGCCATTTTATTGTTTTTTAATTGTAGATAATTCTCATTGCAATTTCATTATGCATTGGTTATACAGCCATATTAAAAAAGGGGTGTGTAATTAAAATTTTGCTACTCTATTCATAAATAGAATATAATAAATCAACACAGATTAGAAAATATTATAGCTACCCAAAATTACACTAACATAATCTTTTAAAGTGAATATATTAAATAATTTGCATTACATTCTTTGTGAATGTAACACTGTTATTGTGTGAGCAAATTAGCACATATGCCAATGTGAATTATCACCTCTTAAATGTAAAATTGTAAACAATGACAGAATACATGTTGGAATATATTTGTGAAAAAATTAGCTGTAGAATAATTTAAAGCAATAATATTAATTGATTGATAGTTATTGGTAACTAGTATTTATGATTAAAAAATGTCATTAGGTGTATATTTGTTCAGAAATATTCTAATAAGCAAAATGTAAGGGTATTACAAAATTTTGATTAATATTCCAATATGAATGTAGAAAAGTTGAAGATCCTTTATATATCTGGAATCAACTTATGTAATTTTTGAAATAAATCATTGTTTTATGTGTTCTTACATTTCACATAAGAATGTAATATGGTGGCCACTTGTATAAATGAACCCCTAACTCTTTGCAGAGGACATGAGGAAGATGCTTCAGGACAAGGAGCAGCTAGAGTCGGAGGTGCTGGGGCTCCGGGCAGAGCTGCAGCAGCTGCAGACACTCAGTGAGAACCAGAAGTCTGAGATACAGAGCTTGCAGATGCTTGTCAGTGGTATGTACAGATTAGTTCTATTATTTTACATTACTAATACCCCAGTCTAATGTTACAGTGGTAAAAATCTAATTATAGTCACACAAACATTATCTTTATTTTATTTTAGTCACATGATGCTGACATAACTAATGTTCTTGCTGGTAAATCTATTGGCTATAATTTGGGAGAGCCATGCTTCGATACGAATGGGCCGGCTCGATACCAAGGCCTCTCAGAAAACCGGCGTAAGGCAACACTTACGTTGTTTTCGCCGTGTGACGTGTGTAGGTTACCGGAGGCCTAATCCTTCTCCCCCCATCTCATGACTCACAAGAAGCCGGCAGTGCACTTGTAGAAGTAATTCCTTTGGTATTACGAGTGTTAATTGGCGGCGATTGCTAACCATCGGGTAACTGACTGCTTGTTCGACTTAAGATATAAAAAAAGATTCTACGCAATACGATTGAGGATAACAATAAAACATAATTTAAATATTCGTCTTTTATCTGTAACACCAGAGGAGATACGAGAATGAAACAATTAATTTATTTTTGTAAATACCTAGGCCATAAAACAGCACTTTTACACGTCACAATTATATGTAAAAAACTAGATGAAGCCGTCATTGCATATCTGACTACTCCGAGAAGAAATGCCGAAACAAACTCAGAGGTCCGTCTCTAGTTTCGGAAATTTAGGGTTTGGGAAAGGATGGGGGCAGCGTAGGGTTGATTGGTTTTTCCGGTAACCCCACTCGCACCGTAAAGCACAACGCTGTAGTTGTTTCTGTGTCTGTGTGGACACTGAATCCTTAGTTTATAATACCTAAGTATAAGCCGAACTATATTCATACCCTGTCATCATTCCTAAGGACACAAATGAGTTTTATCTATACTAATATTATAAAGAGGTAAAATTTTAAGTTTGTATGTAGGGGGTAATCTTTGGAACCACTGGTCGGATTCCCAAAATTCTTTCACTGGTAGATAGCTACTATGTTCCCGAGTGCTATAGGCCATAAAACATCATGCTACAATTAAACGGAGCCGAGCAGCGAGTGAAACCGCGCGGGAGTAGCTAGTTATTCTTAAACAGCAAACTTACTTTAGTTTTACTCACGCGACTGTGCTACCTATAATCGTAGTACTGTATCAACACGTATTGTAATACTATTATTTTATAGTAAGCAGGATATCACTCCGACTCTGACCTGATTGTAATGATTTTGTTACTCTGAACATAAATAAAAAAATAATGAAGCTGATGACTATTCATGCAGAACTCTTTCCTTATCAGTTTCCAAATAATTAATGATTTGAATACTATTAAAATTCTCTGGTTTGGCTCATATAAATACTCCACCGTGATGATAGTCTTACCATGTATTATGAATTTACTTATTAAATCATAAACTACTCCAAAGAACAATAAAAGAAAACATCTATACCTTTGCTACTATCATAAATATCAATCAACCATAAAAAGTATCCACCCTTCCCTCTTTCCTGGAAAAGGTCTGATCTGGTGTAAGTGTCTCATCTCTTATCATCAGGAGAGCCCCTGCTCTTTTTATCCCTAAATATAAGCTAGCTTTTGCCCGCGGTTTCGCTCGCCACAAATGTGCCCGGGATTTTAAAAATAGCAGTGTTCAAAGCCATAGCTTGACTTAAATACGCAAATCAAGTTTAATTTATAGCTTCTAGTACTCCAGAACATTGTAGCTATCTATCAATAAAATATTTTGGAAATCCGGCTAGCGATTCTAAAGAACACACCCCGCATACAAACTTATACATTTTAGCTCTTTATACACTAATATTTAGTGTCCTGAACAAACTTTCATAAATATTTTTATATATGTATGTGGTAATAGAAATGGCTTATCCATTTTCCTCCTACACTACGCAATGTATCAATGTGCGGGCCTGTACCATGTTGCAGTCTTTCTGTCTCGCTTGGGGCTCCAGAGGTACCTACAAGTTATATTAGCGCTTATTAGCTTATGCCAATAGTCTATGTCTGTGCCGATTATGATAAAAATATAGAAGGAGTGACAAACATCCATCTAATAACAGACTTTCGCGTTTGTATTATTATGAATTGCATAAGTTTTGCTTAGGGACTTGACATGTAACTTGTTTTGGTTAGAATAATTATAAAGCTAAAAAGAGGTAGTATACCTGGCAACGAATCTGTACCTCCTCTGGTGTAGCGGGTATCCATGGCTGGCGTTAATCGCTTACTATCATGTCAGAACATCCAGTACACCTATGCAATTTTTTGTCAACAGAAACCGTGGAGGCATCGTCTTCAGGCACGGAGGAAGTGAGAAGATTGCGAGCAAGGAACCTGGAGCTGGAACAGCATCTAAACCAAATGAGACAACAACAACAGGTTAGTGAACACAGCATTATAAACTTTAAGGTGACGCCCTAGAACACAGTTTCGATCATCAAGTGTCAGATCATAAATTGGTTCAGTAATCTCTGTATATTTTGTGCTCGTACATACATACAGATCTGAAAAATATACTCAAACAAAAGCAAATTAGTAATGTAATTCTAAAAAATGTATTTTCTGACCTTGGCTCAGTCTCACGTACTCGTATGATCTAAATTTACATAAATATTTTATACCAGTTAAACAAACATACATGCAGTGTATTAACGCCGATACCTTCAATATCTAGTATTTTTTATGTGGAACGGCAAACGAGTCTATTAGCGAATTACCTGATGGTAACCCATCGGCGCCGCCTATTAATCCGCAACTTCACACCACTTTTCTAAAAATGAAATATGAAATATGACCGTAATATCACTCCGTATGAGCCGTCCCGTTCGTACCAAAGCATGGCTCTCCCACATTTAAAGATGTCTGCAAAATTATTGGTAGAGAAATAAACTAAAAAGATTTTGGTATGATACTATTAAATTAATATTTACTGTTGATTGATAGGTATTAAAATAATGGACTAGATTATACAAAACTAACATGGAATTTATAATGCAGTAGTTTCCAATATTTATTGAAATGTTAAAACTGATGATACTTTTTATCAATCAAAATACCTGTATGACGGCACAATGTTTTTACGTTAAATAGTATACTTTTTTAATTAGCTAGAAAAAACAAAAACAAGTTATTAAAGTATGATTATATTTCAAATAAACTGAACCAACAGCTCTGTGCGAACTTCACGCACGAAATCTTACTGGTAAGTCGGTTAGCGTTATTGAATACCCTCAATTACCAGTACTACTACATGTTGTTCATTATCATTTAAAGGTGTACTGGACTGTATTGGCTTATCTTGCGGACGAACTGTGTAGTTACTAGCAACCGACCTATTGTATACAGGGTGTGTCCAAATGAGACAAGGTTAGGCAAAAGAAATTATAGAAGTTAATGAATGAGTCTTTCAACATTTTTAAGTTTCAGTACCCGTAACAGTATTTTCAGTTTTTTTTAAATATATTTATTTGGTCATTTGGACTTTTTCCTGTCTCGTTGGTGCGTGTCCAACAAACAAATTTGTATCAGCTCAAATCCGGAACAAAAATTTGTGGAATACCCACATTTTCAACTCAATAAAGAGTGGTTCCGTGCGTGAATCGCGGAACACAGTTTTAAGTGTGGTAGAGCCATGCTTCGGCACGAATGGGTCGCCTCGACCGGAGTGATACCACGGCTTCACAGAAAACCGGCGTGAAACAACCACAGCGTTGTGTTTCGCCATGTGCGTGAGGTTATCGGAGGCCCAATCCTTCCCCTCCCCCAATACTCCTCAATCCCTTAATCTCCGAATCCCTAATCGCTAAAAGGTCGGCAACGCACTCGTAACTCTTCCGTTGCGGTTGTCCATGGGCGGCGCTGATTGCTTACCATCGGGTAAGCCGTCTGCTACCGACCGATTTCATAAAAAAAACACGTTGCACAGCAGTTGGTTGCTTAACTACTGCGTGAGTCTTAAAAGTCAATTGGTAGTATTCGTTTAATTCTGCTACTATAGTAAGTATCTCATAAAAATTCCAATACTGTGTAGGTACTTACATCTATATAACGATTTTGATTAACCTTGACACCACTCTTCTACTGGAAATGTACTTAATAGAATAATAATAGTAACACAAAAATCTGATTGCGATACACACTAATTTAACAAGTATTTATACCTATAACAAAACACACTTGTATAAACTTAAAATTTTATAAACAAGTATGGGAAGAGCATTAGAAATGTACACACACGAGGCGGCACTAAAACGAACCGGTTCGCATAAGTTAGTGTAACTTATTCCAAGTATCACTTACTACATCGTGCACTTACCAGTTTATCGCTACAATTAGCATAAGTATCGCTCGATGACTGCCAACTACATTCGAAGTAGGAAACAAAGTGGTCAGGACTATGGTGGTTGAATTTGTGTTATAATAGCAGAAATAGTATAAAAATCTAAGTGATTTTTATATAACAGAAATATACTATACACTTAGTTAATCAGAAATAGTAAATTATTGTTGCCAGTGTAAACAATTATAACAAAATGTACTAAAATTCAATCTAACAATATGTATTTATTACATCATTAATAATGAATTTACAAGCTTGTATAATTAATAAAATAACAATAAAAAATAAAACAACGCAACTGGTGTTAAGTGAGTGCATTTTATGGTTCAACGTGCATCTCAGCTTGTAAAAATCTAAGTGTATAAGATGTCTTCTTGGGAATCAAAAGTTTGGCGCTGCTCATGACACTTAGACCACATAAGCCCTAAGTTCCGTCCTATATATCTCCTAAAGTATAAAGTAGTACATAGTAATGGATGTAAAGTACTTGCTAAATCCCCGCGCGGTGTGGCAGGAGGTGTCGCTGGCGCCGGCCACGTTCGTGCGCTCGCTGGCCAGGAAGCTTGGCGCTGATGCAGAGGAACAGCAGCCCAGGAAGGTATGTATAACTTAAGAGTTTCAATTCCTAAAGTAAATGTAGGGTTTTTCAAGTCTTTTTATATCGGTGTTTTTGCAATCGATTTTCGACCTTATTGTAAAACTTTTAAGCTAATAATAATCTGGTAAATTAATGTGATAGTTCTAAGTAGCTCCACATGCGGTAATGATTTTGAACTAGTAAGAAAACAACAGTTGAGAACGTGTTATACAAAAATCTTTTTACGATGATAACGGAAATAATGATAACGGGAAAATTAAGGATTACTTTTCAAATAACATCTTTTTTACAATTTGATAAATATATTAAACTTATAATAACTGTATGAACAATCTAGCTATAACTCAACTATAAATTAATTATCGAGTATCAACTTACATATATGCGCAGGCGCAGCTTCGCATTACACGTGTAATGTGTATAGAAGATATCTTTCTAAATAAATTATTGTTAACGTAGGAAGAGGAACTCCTCCGGTCCATAATTCAGCCTCTGGAGATGGAGATCTCAGCACTTAAAAGCAAGTTACGTGAAACTGACGCGCAACTACAAGATGCTATGGCGGTATGTACAATATTGCATATTTGGTAACATTGAATATCGACTTAAAATACTTGTGTTAAAAAACGTAGTTTATAAATTAGCCTTAAGCTTCAAGTCTTTAACAATAATATAGTTATTTTTAGGTGTTTTTCCATATGGACATGAGCATTAAAATTAATGGTATAAATGCAACTGTTAGTTTATCAATGTTCATAACTCAATTACAGAAAGCGAAAGCAACAGCCGCAGCGGCTCCCAGCGGCGACGCTAAACCTGAAGCAGGTAAATATACTTTTATAATTATACATGTAAATCTGTTACATGGTACTGTAAGGTCCTTTAGTTAACCCTCGTGCACAATGTTATAGAGTCGAGCAGGCAGTGCGACATGTGTGTCAACTACGAGAAGCAGCTCGTGCTGGAGCAGACCAAGGCCGAGCAGGCCCGAGATCGTGCCAATATGAAGGAGCTCGCACTCAAACAGGTATCCTTGTAAAATGATCATTGTAGTTAGAGCAGTGAAGTATAGTTTCAAAGTTAGAATTTTATGTATGTTAGTAATTTAGTAATTATAGCTCAAATGATTTGCAGATGTTTTGGTCTCACTTGTTCGGTTCAGAAAAAGTATAATCGATATGAAGGGTATGGAGTTCTGAAGAATTAAATGTGGATTTCTGTAGCTTTTAGGTGTAACTACCAAAACGATTTTACAGTAGGATTACTTTTAATGTTTAAATTTGAAATATTACCTTTTTCTTTTGTGGAATAAATTTCCCTCGTGAGAAGGCCTTCGGATAGGTGGGCGGATGATAGTCGAAGTTGCGAGGAGTAAATGGATGTAAGGGGCGAGTTTCGGTTCGATGCAGCGGGCTAATGGGGCTTTGTCTAACGTCGATGTGTATACGTGTGTGTGCGTCAGGCGACGGAGGAGTTGGAGGGCGTGAGGTCCCTGCACGACGAGACGGTGCGGTCGTGGCAGGCGGAGCGCCAGGCGGCGGCGCAGCAGCTGGACGCGCTGCAGGCCGCCGTGCGCGCCGCGCAGGCCGCGCTGCAGCGACACCACCAGCAGGCCGACGAGGCCTCGCAGCGCGCACTGCAGCTTGTCACTGAGCTCACTGTCGACAGGGAGACCTTGCAGAAGAAACTTGACAGGTTTGTAATTATAGAAATTTCCTTCAGCATCGTATCGGAAACGTAGTCTTCCGTCTTCCGAACACGGTAATAAGAATGAAATATTTCAGTCTTCTGGCTTGTGAAATTCAGCGTTCTACGCGCATGATAGATCGGCAAACGAGCAGAAGAATTACCTAATGGTAAGCAATCGGCACCGCCCATAGATACCCACTCGCCGTCTGCCACGCTGTAATTGTTTCACGCAGATTATATATGAGGTCGTGGTATCACTACACTACAGTTGAGTCGACCCGTTCGTGCCGAAACTTGGCTCTCCCACACTTGAAACATGTGAGGTTACTGTTTAAATTTAGTGAAAACCAACTAATGTTGTATTTTTCTATTGCACAAAGCAGACTTTTTTTTTCAAAGTTAATAAAAAACCTGCATCCTAATAGTTGATATTTTATTTGTACACAGTTTAGAAAGAGACAACGCGATGCTGATTGGTCAATACACGAAGAAAGCAGCTGAAATGCAGAACGAAGTCATAGACCTACCTGACAATGTAGAGGTAAGCAATATATACTTTACCGTAATTTGAAGTATTAACTGCCCTGAGACATTTTCTCAATTCATAGCTACGGCTCCTGGTCGACCTCGAAACCAGACAGGTATCCCCGTAAAACTTTAATGTCATGAAGATGTATGTTTTGAACCCTGAAGCCTTATAAAATGTGTAATGGTGTCCAGGAGCTACAGATGCACACGCTGCGACTGCGCGAGCAGTTGATATTCTGCCAGCTGGGCAGGGAGGAGGCCGCCGCCGCCGAGCGAGACCTCCGCGCCCAGCTGCTGGACCATGGAGAGCTGTTCCACAGGCAGGAAGCTGAGCTCGCCACGCTCAGGGCGCAGCTCAAGGAGGCCCTGTACGTAAAATCCTATTTATTATGCTAAAAAAATCTCACAAAATTTATAAGATCTGGTTTTCTGTGAGGCCATAGAGTCATTCCAGTCGAGCCAGCTCTTTCGTGCACGGTTCTTCTACATAATACCTTTATATGCTTTTGATCCCCTGAATCTATCTAAACCTTATCAAATAACACTGTTTAGCTCATCATTCTAATAGTAAAATATGTATAATTGCAGTGAGGAAGTAGACCGGCTGCAAACGGAGCAGGCCCAAATGAAGGAGCTGGGCGACAAGCTGCGGCAGTCCAGCGAGCTGGCCGAGCAACTTCTGGAAGACAAGCGGCGCCTGCAGGCTGACCTGCAGGACGTCCGCCAGCGCGTCTCCGTACTGCAGCAGGAACTCGACAACAGTGAGAAGGTCCAGCAGGACTTTGTCCGGCTCTCGCAGTCGCTACAGGTAACCATTCAATCTTAACGGTTTATTTTCAGCCGATTTCGTGGATTTAAAAGTCGTTAATAAGTAGTATTCTAATAACAACATCCTTAATAAATACTATCTGGTGACGAATAAAAGTAACTAATGAGTTATAGCGATTGGAGGAAAATTTAATGACTCTAAATTATTGTTATTTCTTTTCTTACGCTCTAGCGTAGGCCAACTTTTTTGAACCACAATAAATGGTATACTGGTGTCTGCAGGTGCAGTTGCAGCGCATCCGCGAGGCGGACACCGAGGTACGGTGGCAACACGAGGACGATGTACACGACTGCCCCGCCTGCCACACCCATCTACCCAACAACAAGAAGAAGGTAACTGCACATCTGTTGTGTGCGGGGGGGAGGTCAAGCCAACACCATAATAATATACCACTTAGACACAACCTGATGTATTACCAAATTCAAAGTCAAAATCATATATTCCTACTAAGTCAAAATAGAACAGTAGTCAGTCAGCTTGTTGGTCAGTGAAGCTAGGCGCTCGTTCCAAACATTCGAAAAGCTAGCAACAAATTCCTTGTCTTTTTGCGATTTAGTATTTTACGAAGCCGCATTGTAAAGCGTACAAAGTCATACTCATGAGTAAGTACTTACATTTTGTGTTGTCGTGTGGTACAGATGCACTGCCGGCACTGCGGGCGCATATTCTGCAGTACGTGCGTGTCGCACAGCGTGCCGGCCGGGCCGCGCGGCGCCCCCGCCCGCGTCTGCTCCGTCTGCCGCACGCTGCTGCAGCCCCACGCCGCGCCCTACTTCAGCACCGACCCGCCGCGCTCGCCCGACTAGGGCTCCGCCCCGCTCCCGCCAGGTTGGACCTCATCCGCCTCCCACCATCTTCGCACCGTCCGTCTTGCGAACACCATCGAGCATCCAACAGATGACTTTATATCGTCCATGCCGTTGCGTGCCCAGTGCTAAGTACTTCGATACTAGTGTCACCTCATTGCGACTAAGTAGAACAAGTGTAGCTAGCTGGTAGTTGTTAGGTAATGTTGTCGGGGACGCCCGGGTGGCAGGCTTGCAGTGAAGTCAACAGCCAGAAAGGATATGATGCGTTGATTACGAATGATATGCGATACATAAGATTATGTATTGGTTTATTTTCATGTTCATCGACGCGTGCTTGCTGTATAGTTAATAAATCTTTAAATACAGTGCCTGGCACATATCGACATTGATCTGATCGCACGCAATGTATCAGAAATGTTGATGTCTGCGAGATACTATTCTTTCCTCTTTGGACCATCAAGTATGAGTGTAAATATTGTTACGCGCTATCGTTTGGGTCGGTCAGGAAGGCTGTTGACACGGAGGTAGGAGTGCGCCGACAAGTGATAACGTGTGCCGTTTGGCACTTGATAATAAATTATGACATCTAGCTATAGTTTAGGCTAAGAGTTGTAATATAAAGATATTTTATTGTAAATAAAAGAGCTCCATATTGATCTAATGTGTTTTATTATACCCCAATAGTCCGCCTCGTTTTCGTATGGGTAAGCAAGGCACGCAAAAAACTTCTGTTGGTCGTATTTCCTCAGATTCAGAGCACCTCTTTAACAGCCTCGGCCAGTACTCAATTACTTGGTGTTGAGATATCAAACGAAGACTCGATCCGCAGTCTTCTAGAGGGTAAAGTTAAGTTAGCCTCGAAGAAAGTAAGTGTGCTCAATAGATCGATGCAGTATTTCATTTCGGAGCATTGCCATGCCAGCAATTTATAAGGTTTAGATTCGGCTCCATAATGAATGCTATGCTCAGTTGTAGGCGGGGGCACCCCATCCCTTTAGACGGCATTGAGAGGAGCCGTTCCAATTCCAAAATTTGACTGTACTCATGGGCACTGCGTAGGGATGTAGCGTCAAAATCTTTATTTAGTATCTTTGACTACACGAGACACCATTTAACACGCCCCCTCTCCGTAAACGAGTCTTAATTGCATACCCTCGTGTTCAGGGAACCAAATAAAACACAGATTTACTATGTCAACTTAACACTTAATATATTATGAAGATATGGTCATAGCGACGACACATGAGACAATAAAGGAATGAAGTAAACATCAATATAAAAATATGTGTATTATTCAATTGTATTAAGTTCAGTTTATATCAAACAACAACGTTGTATTATATTAGTCTTCGTAGTCCTCCAAACTGAGGGTCATCACGTCACTGACCAGACAGTCCGCCGGCTGGAACAATAGACAACGTTATTGCAGTACTTGATTATTAAAATAAAAAATATAAATATTTTCGGATATAAGGTCGGAAATTGAGCTATATTGGTTTTTATCACGATCGATTATATAAAATAATATAAAAATAACGGAAACTACGAGAATCAACTGGCAATTGATTCAATAGCACTGCTTTTGAGGATCTTTACTACATGTATAAGAGTGCGCGTATTTTGGCAAACACGGGCGCATTTGTGTGGCTTTGGTTCAGTTCTAAGATGCGATGCGTTCTGCGCTAGTATAAATTGACTCTTAGTGAAAACCCAATTCAAGCAATGCTACTTGCAACCCTTTAGGTATTTATGAGTGTTCGTAGGTGGCGCTGATTGCTTACCGCCGAGTGATCCTTCTCGTTTGGAGTTGTATGGATAGTTCTATGTATTTCTCAATACACGAAAATGACATAATGATGTTTGATATGTCTTACCTCAGAGCAGATGCCGACCAATGCGTCCGCGCACCCGTAGAACTCCTCTTTAAGTGATATGACGATAGTCTGCAGGCTTCCCTTCTTGGAGCGGATGTAGGAGGCCACTTTACCGATGTTGGTGTTGTCCAGAGCTGCGTCTATCTCGTCGAGCAAGAAGAATGGGGCCGGTTGGTAGCTGGAACAATATGTATTAGGTTAAATATACTTGTGTATTATTACAGATGAAAAGAGATTACTTCGTTGAGATTTTATTTTTTAATTTAAGAAAATTGTCATAATGGCACACGGTTTAGAAGTCAAATTAAGATAAAGATAACTTTCTTCTAAATGTCAATAACGACATGTTTGTACGTGATTCTTGGATGACGGTGACGTCAGATTATAACTTTTGTACAATAATTATGCTTCACTTAAATTAGGTAGAAAGATACTAAAAGTAAGCTTAATGCAATAAATTAAAAAAAATAATGAGTAGTATCGTTTTTTTTATTCATTAGGGTATTGGGTTGACATATTAGGGTAAAAATTTATTTTTGACTAATTCATCATCCATACCTAAGTGCATCTTCTGTGACTATGTAGCTTACCTATGTATAGCGAAGAGTAGCGCGAGTGCAGCGACAGTCTTCTCCCCTCCGGAGAGGTTAGACATGGGCTGGAACCGCTTGCCCGGCGCCACGCAGTTGTAGTTGATGCCGTCCAGGTACGGCTCCTCAGGGTTCTCGGGACCGAGGAACGCCTGCGCCGACTGGTTCATTGCTAAAGCCTGTAATATTGCATAGCGTTGTCTAAAGAAAGCTAGAAAATATACTCGTATTCTAGCTACGACATAAAACTCAAAAAAAGGCAATTTTGTGCTATGTAGTATGTGTTTTCTGGGTAAGTAAAAGGGATTAGGAATTTAGCAAGCTTTCAATTGTTCCTTATTATAAATTCATTTACCTTGTAGATAGCGTCGATTTCATTCGCGACGTGCTCAAAGCACTCCATGAACTTATCGTGGCGTTCCTTCTTAACCTGTAATGAAAATATATAACGTTAAAAGTTTATTCAATTCCACAGAATATACAATTGTTATGACAACAGATCCTATTGTACTACTTACCTTTTCAAAGGCCAGTTTAGCTTTGTGCGCCCTCTTTCTAGCTGCGACGAACGCTTCGTTTGTAGCGTTGACTTTTTCTCGAACCTCATTGAGTTTTTGCATGGCCTGTAAATTAATATCGTGTAAAATTTAAGATTATTTAGCCTTTCAGATAGACACGTATTATCTAGCCACAAGTTATAAAGACAAATTTATTGGTCCTAGAAAACCGAACAGTTGCTCTTAGTGAAATGCTGGTCAACACATTGCTCGCCAGATGGCGTTTATATGGGTGTCGCCTGTATTTCCAATCACAGTAGCTAGAAAAATTGTGACTAATTCTTTATTTTAGAGAGAAGTTTGATAATTTGACACAAGTATTTCTTCTTACCCTCATGTTAGGAGCCTGTATCTTGTCGACGGTATTTTGCAACGAGTTGATTGCTTTCTGCATCTTGTCAGCCTTGCGCTTGATCTCGTCAGGCTCTTCCAACTCCTTCAGGCTTTCTGATAATGAGCTGTAGTCTACGAGGATCCTGAGTAAACACAGAATTTATTAAAATACATTAAATACTTTGCGAAAATATCTCGTAAATTATTTTATTGTAATGTGACTTTAGGATACTTGTTATACTTATTGGATTATTTATCAGCCGTAAGTTTAGTATTTGGGAACTTGTGCTTACTGTATTTCTGTATATATTTTATTGTAATGTGACTTTAGGATACTTGTTATACTTATTGGATTATTTATCAGCCGTAAGTTTAGTATTTGGGAACTTGTGCTTACTGTATTTCTGTATATAATTGTATTTACCTGGAATCCTTTTTATACTGTTGTGTGGTGGACATGGAGGACGGGTCAGATTCTCCGTCCGCTGTGTCCTCCAAATTGCCCTCCAGCAGGGGTATTATTATGTCGTCGATCTGTGCAGGATATAAATGGGGCATGCGAAATAAATTCAGTGATATCTCTTATTTTTTTATAATAATTATCAATATTTGGCACACAGAGGGAATAAAAGAAAATTAAATAATGAGTTTTAAATGCGAAATAGTTGAATGGTGACAATAGTGTACCTTGCACTGTCGCAGGATGTTGTGTCGATCGCTGCGCTTGCTCTCGATGCGAGCCTCGATGCTGGAGGTCTGTTTCTGGATCGTCTGAATCTCTTTCTGGATGTTTGTCAACTCTTTGCGGGCCTGTTATGGGGACAGTGATTATCAGTATTTGTGCTATTTATAAGTTGTAAGGGAAATGAAGAGTAGTAAGTGTTGGTAACCTTGTTGACTTGTTCGTCGGCGTTGTCCTGTCGCGTCCGGGCGGCGGCGCGCTCGGCCTTGAGTGTCTCGGCGCGGCGCAGGTCGGCGTCGATCTCCTGGCGCTGCTTGGCCTCGGCCTGGCGGCCGCCCTCGAGCTCGTCCTCGGCGTCCTGCACGGCGCGCTCCCAGCGCGTGACGTTCTTCTGCGTGTCGCGGGAGCGCTCGAACTCGAGGTTGGAGGTGACGCGGTCCACCTGCGCCTCGAACTCCAGCCGCCGCTTGGCGCGCTCCTGCTGCGCGCGCAGCTCGCGCTCCTCGTACTGTCTGCGACACACACACAACCTCACTTACGCACCCTCACAAACAACACTACTGTCTAAGTGCGTTGCTACCTTTACAGGTGAGGATATTTGGGCACTGGGGTATAGACATCCGATAACCTTTTTATTTCGACGAAACAGTGAACCCATAATTTCTCGCCGGTTCTCTGGGAAGCCATGAAAGGGGTGCTATCACGTCGAACGAACCCATTCATCTTAATTTCCCACACTTTATCAGCACGTTATTTATGTCGACAATAAAACTATACCCTATTGCATAAATATTTACATCTTTTTTTATTTAATTCTTCATTGATCAGATAACGTACACTACACACATAAGCACTTACCTAATGTTAGCGACTCCGATATCTCTACAGAACCCACGGAACACGACGTCCTCCACATTGTTCATGTTCTCCTTGATCTCCTGAATCTTAAGGTCACGCGCGTGGATCGTACGCTCGATCTCCTCAATTTGAGGCTATAAACATAATAACATATTATCTCTAGACAACTTTTAAACACTGAACAAATATTGTAATGTTTGTTAAGTTGCCAATACTTACACCAAACATTTCAATTTTCCTTTCAAACTCTTCGAGTTCTGCATCCAACGCCTTAATTTGTTTTAGCTGCAAACAAACATTATATAGGTAATATAGTCCACATACAGAACACAGCTCCTCAATAATTATGATCACAATAAACCTTCTCGACTTCTTACCGTGGTATCTCTGTCAGTGATCGCGTACTTCAGCCGGGACTCGAGTCCCCGTATCTGGGAGTCCACTGTCGTCAGTTCGGATTCTTTGCGAGACTTCTTCATGGACTCACGAAGTTCTTCTGTCAGTTTTTCCTGTAAATAAAAAAGAATGTTTTTACTATCTAGTATAAAATAATTAATATATTTTTTAGATTTACTACTTCATTAGTAGCTACTTAATAAAGCCGTAATTGTAAAAATACATCGTGTACTTACTTTTTTGGCTTTAAGCTGTGAGAGATGTTTCTCGTCCCACCGCTTGGCTTTGCGCGCCAAGTCCAATGAACCTCCGGAGATGATACCTGACTTCTGGTAGAAGGTACCGTCAAGTGCCAGCGCCTGAAGCAATAATAATTCATAAATTTAATGTCATTTTAATCAATTTAAAATTGTTCTGGCGTTATCTGAAAATAATGCCAGAATAGTAGGTAATAGGTATTTACTTTTCTTTCAAGCCTAAATAAGTAGTACTCACATCATATCGGCTGTTCTTGCTACGATCCAGATCGTAGGCGACCCTGGAGGCGTCTTCAGGGGTCTCGCAGACGAGCGCGTTGTTGGTGACGAAGAGTACGGCGCGGTGGATGGCCGGGGGCTCGTAGCGGAGCACGTCGAATAGTAACTTCACGTTCTTGGGCTCCTTTATGTCCCTTTATAAAAGTTTACTTATATTAAGTAGTTCACAAAGAACATAGGGACTCATTTCTGTACACAAACATATCTACGAAAATGGTTTTGAAATAAATAGATTTTACCTCAGTCTTTCACGAAGAGGTTTGGCCTGAATGTAGTCCAAAGGCAGAAAAGTTTCTGGCTCCAACATCCTCTCTTTTAGCACCTGAAACCAATGTAATATATGTATTTGAAACCATAAAATTTACCAATGCTTTTGATTAATGTAACTCTATTTTTCGTGAATACACTTTGTCTAGGGGTCAAGAAAGGTCTCTAACCTGGATACATCTCCTGGCAGTCTTTTCAGTGTCGACAACGATGGCCTCCATGTACTTGCCCAACACCTTGGTGATGGCCACGTTGTAACGCTTGTGGGTCGGCTGACACATGTTGATCATGCGGTCGTACTGGAATGCACAATGATATGTTAATATATTGGCGGTGGTGGCGTGTTCTGATAATTTTAAAGAGACTTCGTTAGTGTGAACATTTGCTAAAGTTTTACCTGTTTTAGATTAGACTAAGTATGTCTTTCTCTTATCTAAAGAAAGATTGATATTGTGCAAAAAGCAGGAAGAAGTAGCAAAAGTTATTATAACAATTAGGATGGTAGTGATAACTAGAGTTAAACAAGTTAAGAGCATACCACGCCAGGAATATCTCTCTTGAAGCTCTCGACAATCTCCTGCTTCTTCCTCCGGCGTGCCTCCTCGTGTTTGTCGACGCGCGCGTCCCCCAGCGCCGCCGCCACCTGCTCCAGCTGCGACTGGAGCTCCGCCGCGCGGCCCCGGCACGAACCCACGTCCGCCTGCGTATACAAACATATAATTTATACTATTTAACTACACTCGACCTAGTTATTTGGAAAAACAAATGAAAGATGAGAAAGTAAACGTTGGTTACAATAGGTGTGTGAATCAATCTTAATTTTGTTCACCAGCAAATTAACTTACTGTCCTTGCAAAACGATAAAAGTATGCATTTTAGTAATACACTTTGTGATAAAAATAGGTTAATAATGACCTGGAGTTCAGCGCGAAGTCGGCGCTGCTCCTCGAGTGCCTGTTCGGAGCTCTTGATGTGCTCGTTCAGCTTGTCCACTCGCTTCATTGCCTCGTTTCTCTCGTGGCCCTGTTGGCATTGGACATCATTCATATTTTGTGACACAACAAAAGCTATACACTGCAGGTTGATATTTATAGATAACAATATGTTTTAAGCATTTGGAAGATAACATGTAAATTTTTTGCCTATATTATTTTTGTTTACTGTATACAGATGAAATAAAAGTCGTTAAAAGCAAGAAGAATCAAGAAGACAAAGAGGAAGGCTCTTGTTCAGCAGTAGATGTCTAGTATTCGATTTGATAGTGTACCGATTTAATCGGTTAAATGTGTACCTTTTGCCGATGTTTGTTCTCGAACTCCCCCTTGCGTCGCAGCTCGTTGTCGAGTCTATCCTGATCGGCCTTCTGTTCTCTGTTGACGGAGTCCAGCTCCTGCAGGTAGCGGGCCGCCTGGCGAGACGCTTCCATCTTCAACTCCTCGTATTCGCGAATCTAGGCGAGATAAGTAAGATTTTACATAACATCTTTTGATCCGCAAAGAATAGGCATAATATAATAATGATGTGCATATCCTTAGTTCCGCGATCTTTTGTTCGACACATGAGTCGGGCGGTCGATTTACCAGTGCCATAGGTACAGGCATTCTCTACATTATTTTTTGAAGATTATTCTAGTGAATCACCTGTGCCTCCTCAAGGTGTACATCAGCCCGGCCGGCATGTGTAGTACCGAGCGTGGAATGCTCCCACTGTGCCTTCTGGTCCTCAATCTGCCGGAGTTCATCCTCCAATTTCTTGATATCAGCCTGGTGAGCTTCGTGAGCCTTGCGAGCCTGCTCCAAGGTCTTCAGTGCACTCTCCAGCTTCTTTTGCGTGTGAGTAACGCGTTCCTTCGCTTTTATGAATGTTGGCCGCTTCTTTGAGATCTCAGCTTCCTGTGGATTATGATATTATGTTAAATTTTAATTAATTTTTGACAATACTGAGGTCACTATTACATGACACTGATGAAATAGATTATATTACTAGTTTTGCTTAATCTAACAATCATGTATTATGGAATGGTATTAAAAACTTACATGCCTAAACCATTAAAAATACACTCGCGAGCAAAAGTATCATAGTAAAGAATCACTTACTTGGAATTGAATCCTCGCGATCTTAAGTTCTTAATAACTAGTTAAGAATAATAAAAATGGTACCATTTAAAAGGTTAAACTGTTAACTTTAAATTGATACCAAATTCATTTAAATCACACCAGTATTTAGGAGCTATCCCGGATTGAGTGAAGGAGTTAGGAAAACATAAGGATAATGGAAAAAATAATGAATGAAGAAAACAACAAAAATTAATTAATAAAAATTTTATTTGGCCTTAAAATTAAGATTTAATATTTTTTGTTCCCTCCCCTCGCCCTAATAACTGCTTGAAGGCGGTTCTTCATTGACCTAATCAGCTTCTGTATCGATTCTTGCGGGATACCTTCCCACTCCTCTATCAAAGCCGATTTCAGCTCATTCACACTTGAAGGAGCAGGATTTCTGGAACGAACCCTCCTCTTCAGTTCATCCCATACGTGCTCAATGGGATTTAAGTCCGGGCTGAGTGCTGGCCAGTTCATTGTGGCGATACCGACTTCTTCGAGATATTCAGTTGTGACACGGGAAGTGTGACAACGAGCGTTATCGTGCATAAGGATGAAGTCATCGCCGATATATCCCGCATAAGGAACGACATGATCCAGCAGAACATCGGAAAGCGGTCTGAAGTTAGACCGCCTCCTCGTCCCCCGCCAGGCACGAAAACAAGCTCAGTTTTACCGTCGAAGGAAATGCCGGCCCACATCATACAAGAACCACCCCCATAAGCCACTGTCTCAGCGAAACAGCACTGCGCAAATCGCTCCCCAGGCCGCCTGTAGACCCGACCCCTTCGGTCGCTGCCGTGCAAACACATTCTGCACTCGTCGGAGAACAGAACTCGCCTCCATTGCTCAACCTCCCAATCAAGATGGGAGCGAGCAAATTGAAGGCGTGCTTGTCGGTGACCTGCCGTTAGTTTCGGGCCTGTGGCAGGCCTTTTTGGAGTCAAATTAGCTTGCTTAAGTCTTCGACGAACTGTCCACTCACTGGCAGCTACCCCACGAACATTTCGGAGCTCCTGTTGGACGTCGACACCAGCCAAATGTCGATTTCTGAGAGAGGTTGACACGATGAAACGGTCATCTCTCTCCGATGTTATACGCTGGCTGAGCCCTTCTTGCAATAGGGCGACGATTTGTGCTGCTTCTGTAGGTGTAGTATCCATTGTCGTCCAAGTTCAAGGGTCTAAAGTAGCGGAGATGTGTACTGGTCAACGTGTGAAAGCCGACTGATAAAGAAAATCCGATAACACGTGCTTTTATAGGGGGTCAATAGGGCGCAACTCGTGACGTATCAAACAATTGAAACATATCTTTTTCCTTACTTCTTCACGTAATCCCGTATAACTTCTGAAATTATGGCGTGATTTAAATGAATTTGGTATCAATTTAAAGTTAACAGTTTAACCTTTTAAATGGTACCATTTTTATTATTCTTAACTAGTTATTAAGTACTAAAGATCGCGAGGATTCAATTCCAAGTAAGTGATTCCATACTTTTGCTCGCGAGTGTAGATAAGGACTGTAATTTTTTATCTTAAAATTTGAGAAGGGTTGTTAAGACGACAAAAAATAAATATCATAGAATTAACACAATACATATAATTACATCATACTAACCACTTCTCTAATCTCCTGCTCAATCTTGGCAGTCTCTCTCTGCACAACTCCAGCCTCCTTTTTCTTCTCCTTAAGCGCTTCCTCCAGTTTCTGTCGCTTCTTTTCCACCTTGGTCAGCTCAGATTGCTTGTGCTGAAGATCTTCCTCCATTGACTGGATTTCTTTCTCATTGTGGTACAGGTGATATAATTGGAGCTCGATCTTTTGCTCTTGCTGTTAATTGGAAAATGAAATTATTTATTTTTAATACATATAAATGAGCATAGTCTACAACAGCTAGCTTCCAATCTGAAAACCGAAACTTGATAAAATAAGTTGTGATTTATATAAAGAATTATCATGTGTAATTAGAACCACATCAGTTGCATGAGAGACCATCAGACCATCTTACCAATTCTTCCTTAAGCCTGGTGTACTTCTCAGCTTCCTCCTTCTCAAACTTGGCCTCCTTCCTCTCAGCAGCCACTCCCTTCTTCTTCTGATAAGAGAACTGTGCCTCTTCATCAGCGCGATTCACTTCTCCACGACAATGCTCATATTGTTCCTTCAGAACCCCTGATCTGGAGAATAGAAATAATTTGTGTATTAAATATAAGTCTTACTTTGATAACTTATATGCGATAATACTATATTACTTATCAATAGTATCATTATGGATTATTTATCATATGAAATGACACTTACCCACTGATTTCCTCAAAAAGTGCAGTTCTCTCTTTTGGATTCTTCATAGCAATGCTCTCAACGGCTCCCTGGAACACCAAGAAGTTCTTGGCCTTCACATTGATACCCAGCTTCTCCAACTCACCCAGGTATTGTGATGTTGACACAGACTGTGGACAAAATATTGACAATTTCAGTTTACTGTGTAGGCAGAATGGGTGGATGTAAGCACTCTACAAATAAATCTATGAAAATAATTGCAAATGACTATAAAAATAAATAAATGATACATATAATAAAAATAGCTTTAACTTTTGTCACGTATTTCAATATACAAAACATAGAACAGAATCTAGGACTGTATCTATAGTAACATAACATATTTATATAACAAATAAATCTAGCTGAAGCAGGCATTTCCTATCTGAATACTCTGAGAGGAAATTATAGACTTCCTAAAATTATTTTAATGCACTTTATTATAATGTCTTACTTGTCCATCAATCTTGTGTTCTGATGACTGTCCAATCACTGATCTCTGGAACTGCTTCTCTGTCATGTCCTCGAGGACAAATGTTGCTGTCACTGAAGCACTTTAACATCAAAATAGTTCATTACACACAAATACTTGCAATGAATCGCACAACAATTAACACATTGATTATTTACAATCATAGTCCTATTGGTAATTTAAAACAACTTTAATAGCTCAGTTTTAAATATCTTGTCAATTTTCATTATTGTAGGGAAAGGGTAAGAATAACGCAATTTTATAAAAAAAATACCTTCTGGATACTGGTTTGTTGATGGAGGCTCCATGTATCAAATCGCTGAGACGTTTCACACGGAGCAGGGAAGTTTTTTCACCCATCACAAAACTTACAGCATCCATGAAGTTGGACTTGCCTAAAGAATAAAATATTTTTTGCTCACGGTATAAAACAATGTCAAGTGCCTTAACAGTACATCATATAAATAAGAGTATTAAAATACTCATAAAAGGACAAGCAAAACAGGCTTCAAAATGTCTTACGTATATGTTTCTGGAATCTGTTTCGTTGCAAACAATTAACAAGTAGCTAAAATTGATGAAATTGAATAGACATTTATATTTATCCTTACCTGATCCATTAGGCCCTACTACCGCGGTAAACGATTTCAGAGGTCCTATTCGGTGGTGTCCCCGATAGGACTTGAAGTTTTCCATATCAATATATTTGAGAAACGCCGGCATTTTGGCTTGAGTCAATTAATTTAAAACGACCATTCAATAATATTACGCCAAGTTAACATAAAAATAAATTATTAGCGCCAAACATCGTCACATCAACAATACCGTTGTCGCTGTCAAACAAACGTCAGCCATCTTTTAACTAATAGGGATGTGCCATTCGAATACCGTAAACTAAAATTGTTAAGTGATAGTCGATTCCCAATTCAATCGAGCTTCGATCTCGTTTCATATACGTCATTGGATTTTGTTCAATTACTATTTTCAAAACAATTTACCCTGGAACGTTCTTATGAGAATGAAACGTCAAATATTTATTTATTGACAATATTGATATCCTCAATTTAATACCTTCCTTCGTTGTTTTTATAAATTATTAATTATTGGGACATGGATAAACGTTGTATTTAAAATTTATGACCAATAAAACTATGTCAGGTGATAGAAGTCCTACCAGTACTATCAATTTAGCTGATCCTGAGGAAGCCGTGCTAATGGATCCTATAGACCACGAACGCTGCCGATACCCTTACTGTATAGTTTGGACCCCAATACCAGTGCTCACGTAAGTTTTACGAACATGTAAATAAACTAATTTAATAATAATGTCTTATATTTGATGAAGTTGCTACACCAAGATGTGTTAATGTTATTATTAAGTTTGTCAAAAAGCGTTTATTTCTTTAATTACAAGATATTATTAATACGAATAATGGAACTGGTATATTAAAGCAATACAGTCTTGATATTAATTGTCGAGAATACAATATAGTCGTGATGATTCACCTATTATATTTTATTGATATAAAATATAGTGGTTTTCCTTTACCATATAAATAACAACTTGTTTGTTAATAACTTTAAAACAATGAGGAAAAATATGTTTTCAGTTGGATCTTTCCGTTCCTTGGACACATGGGTATTTGTACTTCATCAGGAGTTATCCGAGACTTTGCTGGCCCATACTTTGTATCTGAAGATTTGATGGCATTTGGAAATCCAACAAAATACTGGCAATTATCACCACAAAAGGCAAACAATGGTCAGGCTGGTTGGGACGCTGCTGTAGCTGAAGCTTCTGAAATTTATAAAAAAAGAATGGTATGTTTTATGGACATTTATAATAAAAAAACTGTTATTTTTCCCTTATGTCATCTTAATTATATTTTTGTTTCCAGCACATACTGTTCTATGACAACTGTCATTCCCATGTGGCTACTGCTTTGAATATCATGAGTTATGGAGGCTGCAAGAATTGGAACATGGTGAAGCTAGCATTTTACATGATACCCTACTCTAGTTACGTCAGGTGAACATCTTTTCTACTGGAGATTTCTATTGCTTTGTTGTGAAGTATATGTTACAAATAATATTTAAATGTTCTTGTTTCAGTATTGGAGGGTTTCTCAAAACATGGATTCCATTTTTAATAATAGTAGCATTTATAGTTGGTTTAGCAGCAATTATTTAGATGCTGTGGCAAATCTAATGCTGTCCCAGTGCTATGCTTTCTGGTTGAAGATGTGAGCTCTTGTATGAAGACTTTGTATGTGTGGTGGATTGGATATCATTGGTGCTGGCTGTGTGATGGAGACTGGCAGTGAGCTGGAGCTGGACAGGTGTTCCACACAAACATAAGATAGTTTATTATTATTTAAAGTGTTATGTGGTATTGTGTATTGATAAGTTACACACAACTGTTGTGGTATACACTGGTTAATAACTGTGACATTCTTTCAAAAATGTTATTATGTTTCTGAAGCACCTGCAGTACACTTGACTATTGTATTATATTTCTATTATACTTTTTTAGTCACTAAGACTTATGTCTTTATTATATCATCATCATATTTTATAATAAAGATATCACATTTATTTGTGTTCTTGGCCTCTTCATTTTTAGTTATCTCTAGAAACTCATAGTCAAGAAGGAATTGTTTTATTTAGACACACAATAAAATAATTTTATTTTTATTTTGTACTTTTATTTACAATTTTATTATTAAAAATAAAAATAAGACTACATTTTTTACTTACTAAACAAAAGTTATAATTAATATGCAAATATATAAATTGCATAATATTTTTAGCTTTACAATGCATTGCATCTTGATAATATAGAACTTTTCTGTTTACAACCTAGACCTAATGTAATATTAATCATTTGAGGCTAGAAAAGTATTTGCTCATGTCATAAAGAAATTAAAAACCAGTTGTTAACCATGAGCAGTAAAAAATGAGAACTGTAATTTAAATCTTAATCTATGTATCACATGTCTGATTTAAATTTATAATTTGAAACAAAATAATTCCACTATATAAGTAGATAGCAAAGTATATCAGTGACCTGTTCACTTTCAAAGATTTAACATTCTTTCAAAACACTGCGTTCGACACTAAAATCATAATCATAACCACTCATATTAACTTTGCTAGTCAGGAATGCAAGAAGATCTGTAATTTCCGTAGCAAATGTATCCTTTTTCGATGCCATTTGTAGAGTTTTGGACATGGCGAACGGTACTCCTTGCAAGTAATGAAATGTTGGGTCGACCAAAACTGTTCTTGCTGTGGGAGCTGGCGGCGCAGGTCGCGGCACGTACGTGGATGATCCTCCACCAGCAACATTAGGATACAAGTTGCTCCTAGGCGAACTAGGGTCAACTACAACAAATCCATCATCGGCACGCGCACCAGGAATCGGAGGAGTCTCTTCTTCTACTTCGACCTCCACAGGAGATCTGCGCTTGCCAAATATTGATGAGAACATTTTTCTGAACTAATGTAGTAACGGTTCACAGATAGATATTTTATTACTTTAAATTTTGTATAAAGAAAATGACAATGAACAATAAGTATGAGTCAACAAACGAGTACTTTTATTGACACTGACAGTTAACTATTGTTTGACATTTTGGGTTTGTGTGGTCTGTCAAATTTTAGTGAGGCTCTATAAAAACCGGTATCGAAATAAAATTTCTTGAATTGTCAATAACTAAAATTAGTATAATGCAGTCCTAGTTAAATTTCTAGCGAATATTTGTCGTATTTGTCATGGAATAAAATATAGTTGAACAAATATGATCATGGAAAACTTTTTATTTTGATTATTTTTAATATTTTCCTGATTCAAAGTACCGGTCATTGGAGATATCGGTTTTCAGTATCTCAGCCAAGGTGCAACTTTATATCAACTATCAAAAAACGTCATTCTGATTGGTGGTATTGTACCAAGTTTTCGAACAAGAATCTTGTTGGCCAATAAAAAACTAGAAAAAATGCTAATTGGAGTCTGACAAGAAGAATTTGTGAACGGACTGATCATTCGACGTAACTATTACGTCAAAACCTGGTCAAAACATAGATTTTTGACTTGTTTTGAAGCAATTATTAAGTGAGCTTTGTAACTTGGATATGAACAAGTTAATAAAATGTTGTTATTTATGTTTGTTGTGACGATAAAATACTACGAAATAATATATAAAACTGTTAAATAGTGATATCTAAGGACACATATAGTCAAGTATTTGAAGCCCCAGCTGGTGTAAGCAAGGTACTAATATTTTCTGTAATGTGGTTTCTTTATGTATTAAGTCTCGTGTAAAGTCATTTAAACAAGTTGCGATCTATCATTTAATACATCGAGATTTATTGTTTGTTATTGGTAACGACAGTTGTTGTGGTATGTTGAAGTGTACCTAGTAAATGTATTGGGGGATAAATAATATAGTCTATCCAGTATGTTAGAAGATGGAAATGTACCAATAAACACAATTATAACTACCTGTACGTATGTTCAAGTAGGTGGCATAGTTTCATTAAATGGGTAACACTACAAAAAGCTCTGAGTTGTTATAATTACCTGCTATATGAAACTTAAGATTTAAGATTAATTGCTTAAGATTTACATACATTCTAGGCCATTAGTTATCTTATAGTTATATTTATTTACTGGAGTAGTTTTATATGCATTACCTATTAATCAACACTATTAATTTACTTTTAATGAAGTATACAAATTATCACCGCTATTTTGGCGAGCTGTATAAAGTTGCCTTTTTCAGTATTTTGCAAGCAATATGCTAGGTAATTTTAATGTAAATCTGTATTACAGTTTGTTCACAAAGTTAATCTTGATTCCAGGATAACAGAGAAATGGCAGATGAACCTGGCCGATCATCCAATAACTCAGGTTAGTAAAGTAGAAAATTAAATATTAAAAAAGTATTTAGCCAATAGCATAATTATATCATTTGGATCATAAAAAAATATATTCTTGATAATTAAATACTTTCTCCACGAAATAATGGTGATTAATGATCATTTCTTAAATTGCATCACTCACAAAAATATGACTTCAATTAATTACTCATTTATTATAAATAATTTTAGTAATACATGTATGTCCTTGTGCAATTTTATTATTCTATTGATTTGACTCAGGAATAATAATAGCAAATTATTGCTGTACTTTTTTTTAAATATGGTCTCTCCAAATATTGTTAACCTATTCAGTCAAGTCAGTTTTACTATGAAACCATAGATAATATTAGTGCTTAGTGTCAGTTTCAAGAATTAATTAATTTATATTTTTCTATTTTGTAACACATATTTTCACACAATTGTTATGTTAAACATTATTTTCTAGTTTCCCTCACAAGTAGCAAGTATTTTAAGTAATAACATAAATGCATTATGTATTACATACATGTATGGATATGTTTAAGTTATGTATATGTACATGGATACTCCAAGCACCTTAAAAAGTCAAAAAAGGTTATAGGTTATATATATAATGTTTAATTACTATCTTGTGTGATATAAAACTATTATAAAAAAAATCTAAGTTTGAAAATTTCAAATACTTAAACCAGTTTTATACGACCGACGAATCGAACCTGAAAGCAAGTGTTAGGTAGCCGCGATTACTCGACCGATCGAGAAACATTAAAATTGTAACTAATTGACATGCATGTCATCACACTTGACTTGTATGATACGGGTTGTATTGCTCATCTAAAATATATTTGAAAGACGCCGCGCGCGTCCACACGTCGTGTGGACAGTCCGAATCAAACCACGTAGTAATGTAACGCAGATTGCTATAGCGCAGCGCCTGCACCCCCTGCCTCAGGCACAGTATAATTTAAAAAAAATATGTGATTACAAGGGCCTATTGAGTAAGACACTGGCGATGATAGTGTCGGGTGGCGCGTGGCTGGTGGCCGTGGTGTGGTGCATCTGTTTCGTGGCGTGGTAAATCTGTGGCTCTGTTATTCGGCCGCCTCGGCCAATCACGACGCGGGTGGAGGGTGGTGGTGGTGGAAGGGAAACGGTGGGCGAGCCACGCTCCACGGCCCGCAGATGTTATTATTGCCATGGTGTGAGTGATAATGTGATGAATCTTAGTTGTTGCTAGGGCCCGCCTACAGTCTTTGTGTTTCTACAGGCATTATGCTTTCAATTAATTTACTGAATATTAATAATGATAATGTCAGTTGGCATGTTTTCCAGCTCGTCATCTCCATGCGCTGAATTGAAAGCGAATGTATCATACCTGGCATGAATCAATAGTTCGTTCATTATCGGTCGCTAACTCAGTGGTATTGAATGCCGTTATCAATTTAAAATGTAAACATTTTTGTGACTTTTCCTTAGCGGAAAATTTTCGCCGCGGCGTAGTACAACCGGGCCGGGGGCTCGTCACACACACCCATCTGTCGCGATCGATGCTCCCAAGGCCACGGGCGGGCTATCGATTTTATATAAATAGAAGCAGCCCCTCGCAACCCCTGCCCCGTATGCGCTCTGTCACCGCGCCCGGGAACCGGGAACACAGGTTCGATGCCCGGCCTTGTGTCGCACTTACATTGTTTTGTTTGCATTTATTGACTTGTGACTTTGTCAAGGCAAAACAAAAGGCTTTGGTTATTTAGTTTGATACAATGCTGTGGTTTTTTTACATATATATTATTTATTCAGCCATTTCTCTCAATCGTAACTTGTACAAAATATTACTTAATTTCATTGCATTAAAGGTATGCCTTTTCCCTGTCATGGACATTGGAAACTGCTTAAGTGCACTAGGCCAGCACACCTCTTCCTTGCCTGTAATCAATAATAATATACAAAGCTATATCGAATACGATTCCCTCTTCCCTTTACTCTTGATGTACCTTTGTCAAGAGGGCACGTAACAGGTTTCTACTTTTTCTAGAACAGTTTCGCTACAATATAATATTTATTATAGTTAGGAAGCTGTGTCGCTCGTTTAAATTCTTAGAATTGTGAAGAATTATTTGTATGGAATATTGGATATAGTTGGTTGCTAGGATACACATTTGTAAAGGTTTTCAGATGAGCACGTCGGAGGACTGTATTCTGTATTTAAATATTAGTCCCGCCCGCACCGCGCCGCGCCGCGCCGCGCTGTGCTTCGCTACTTTCTTTATATAGCAATTACTTGCTCTGGAGATGACTCACAGGTTTGATCACACTGCCCAAACCTGTTACGTCACCACCTTTTGTGGTACAGTTCATATAAGGTGAGGTCGACTTGGTGAGTTTAAAAAGTGCCAGGTTAGAGGGTTGCTAATAACTACCGAATTGTATCATTATTTGTGACCTAAACCGGCGTGAAACAATCACAGCGTTGTGCTTCGCCGTGGTTACTAGAAGCCCAACAATTCCCCTCTCTCCACCCCGCCCAATCCATAATCTTAATACAAACCATAATCTCTAAAAGGCCGGCAACGCACTCGTAACTCCTCTGGTCGATTGCATACCATCAGTTAAACTGTCAGCTCGTTTTTCGAACTAAAAAAACTGTTGAAGTATCATCATCCATCATTTGCCTTGTAGTGCCCAACTTAACCAAACACATAAACACCTACCTATTTACTTAATATTTTAACCGGAACGAAGTTAGTAATGTAGTCTTATTCAGAGTTTTCAGCATTTATCCCCAACTCGTGTAACGTTTTAACTTTAAGTTAAATAGTTTCCAGAAATTGCCAAGTTTGATTTTGTTTACTTGACTGTTGAAGTGCTGAATTGATTGTAGATTAATATACGTATAAGTAAAGTATATTTTAGTATCTGTTGGTGTAGAATGTGATGGCTCACTATAGGACGCTTTTGTCTACGTTCATCAACACTTGAAAAATGTGTGCACGGAATATTTATACGTACACTCTTTTGATTTAAGTTTTATATATTTCTTCTTTGTTTGACGTGGTAATCTACAGGAAGTACCAATCGGATTATTCATCTGATAGATACTATATCTGTCTACGATACGATTTTTTTATTTGTTAGGTTGGCAAATGAGCTTACCTGAAACCTGATGGTACGCAATCTGCGCCGCCCATGGAACGAGACCAGAGAAGTTAGGAGTCGGCCTTTTGGGGATTAGGGCTTCAGAGATTTAGGAATTGAAGTACTCGATTTCAAGAAGGGTAAGGCTTTAGATAACCTCACTTACACGGTGAAACACAACGCTGTTGTTGTTTCACGCCGGTTTTCTGTAAGGTCTCGGTAACAATCTGGTCAAGCCAACCCACTCGTGCTGAAGCAATATGTGCTTCAGCACGATCCTATTCTTAACTTACTTAGGTCGGGACCTGTTCTACTCACACTGACATGGTTCTTTTCTCAAACCCTGTGTGCGTGAACCATGATCTTATATTAAGTCGTGACTAAATGAAGTGGGCGTCACCCGGTGTCCGGAGCGCCGCCAGTCGACTGTTGCGTATATTTGCAAGCATCTCTGATCTAATAGATACGAGTTCGGAACACCACCACATCATAAAGACTTTCACAAATGTTAACAATAGAGATTACTCTATCAAATAGAAGAACTAAAGTTAATGTAGTTTAATCATTACTTATCAATAGATTAGTAAGCACAGAAGCTATAATGTGGGGCGGCGACGCCGTCTGACGTGTCCCACACAGGTACCCTGAGTTTTTCAGAATAATATCACACAATCTATGGGTGTGTAATCTAACAGTAGAGGTATCGATAAACTGTAATAAGCTCATTACTATTCATATCTCTTGTTAATTGAGTCAGAATACAATTATCGGTATTCCGGGAAAACCGAAACCCCGAAAATGTTTGTGAGTTCGCCTCGTATGTGAGGGAGACACAGAGGCTGGCAGCGGCGGCGAGACGTCGAGGTCTCACTGTCACGGAGAGTGTAAGACGACGGCGTATAAACATTAATCTAATTATTTCGTGGAAACGCCAGTACCTAGCTAATTAATTAAATCAGTAACGAGAACTTGGGCATGGAGTTCTGTTTTCATATTTTCTCAAGTCAAATATTATGTGACTTGGAAATTTTTAAAAATGTTATTTTATTGAGACAAAGTACATATTTCGAAGAAAGCGAAGTGAACGCTTTATGTTTGTACGCTATGACGAATAAATGAGTAATTTGTTGTTTAGATTCGTTTGTTGCCAGGGCGATTTGTGAGGGGTGTGTTGTAACTGTTGTAAACCCGTAAGCACTAATGTGGAGCCACGAGGAACGCGGACTGGTGACCGGAGCTTCCTCGGTAACCGTCCCACGCCCACGCTTGCTCCTCGCCCCGCTCCGTTATACTGGTCTTTACATCCTTACCGTGGGTGCTCATAAAATACACAAATATCAAATCTTAAACTTGATCACGTTTTTATAACAATGAGTAAAGTGTCAATCCGGTTTCTTCTTGTACTAGGTACTTTTTGTTTTGGATAAGAATTATGATACAAATTTGAATATGGTTTGAAGTAAGGTGTATCTGTACGTACCTGTGGTACAGGGCTACACTACATGCTTAATGTCCACCAGTGTTGCAGTCAATTGACAGCACTATGTGGGTTACCAGGCCGCATTAGTTGGCAACACGCCAGAACATGGTTGTGTGTTCGATTGTTATTAAGTACAATATAAAACACGTACAATTTCATATATCGCAACTTCTATTAATGTTCTAGAATTCTCGGAAACTTGAGTGAAAAAAAAGCAAAGTAAATTTGTCCGCCACAATACTACAATATAATTATAAAGATATGTTTTTTGGTCCATATTGGCAATTTAACAATGTCATGTTGATATTAAGCAAATAAATTAATAGTTTACCCAGCCTAATGTGTAATGAGATTATCAAGTTTTGAACTACTATATCCAATGTAACGTCAGCGTG